CAACAGGGTAAACATTTAAATTTTTAGACTCTATAATCACAGTTATTTTAATATCATAACAGTAGGCAAATAATAAAGTATTTTATTGACCATTTCAGCATTCGTTAATTTCCTACCTAATACATATAAATAAGTGACTATCTGAGTGAATATTGTATACATGTTAGAAATAGATTCATTGAGTTTCATGTAAAATAATTCATAATCATATAACAAGATATTTAATATAGATTGCTTTACTTCATTAGTCTATTCATAACTAATATAAAGTCTATCACATATGTCATTTCCACTTTTACAAGTGGAAACCCGTATGTAATCTTCTAACTTAAGTATATAAAATAAACTGTTTAAACACTTTGCATTTAGTTGTGCTAAGTCACATTCTTCTATAGTCCAATCAGTAAAGGAGGGTGTCTCAACTCTAATGCTATCAACTAATCTAGTTGGTTTGGTATACCCTTCTTGAACTAAAATCCACATGTGATAATCTAGTGATTGCAGAAACATAAACATGCATGTTTTCCAAAAATTGAAAGGGACATTATAAAATAAAGGAGGTCTAGTGATCGAATAACCTTCAAGTGTGTTTTGAATTCCAAAAGTAGACAATCTTATTTTTCAAAAAATAGTCTAAACTTATGATTTTGAAATAATGCTCTGATACCAATTATTAAATCTGTATAGGTTGTTAAACCTAAGCTATTATCCCAAGGCTAACTAAGAGGGGGGTGAATTGGTAATTTAAAAATTTTCTTGAATTTTTAGATAGAAAACCAATTAGAATTTTGTAGAAAATTAATTTAAGTTTTTAAAAGAACTTTTCAACCACAATAAATAACTTGCATAAAATAAAATATGAAAATTAAAAAGATAAAGATTTATAGTGGTTTGATCAAACACGACCTACATCCACTCCCTGAAGACTCCCTCTTCAGGTATTGCACTATTACCAAAGTGTTGACTCTTTATTAGGTTGTTAAGCTTAAGTTATTATCCCAAGGCTAACTAAGAGGGGATGTGAATTGATAATTTAAAAAACTCTTGGTAAATTTTAGAAAACTGGTTTATAATTTATCATAAAGATTTTTCAACCATAAAATATTAAAGTGTGTAAAATAAAAATACAAAAAATAAAAGAGAATAGAAGAACACCAAGTTTTATAGTAGTTCGGTCAAACACGACCTATATCTACTCCCTGAGGACTCCCTCTTCAGGTATTGCACTATTACCAAAGTGACTCTCCTTTTGCCCCCACAGTAAGGCGGAGAAGCCTTCACAATTTTCCTCTATTCCACCAATCACCAATGTTGTAGAGAATTGTCATCCTTTCACACCCTCCATGTGTCAATAGAGAAATGTCGTCCTTTCACACCCTCCAAGTGTCGGCAGAGAACCGGCATCCTTTCACACCTTTCAAGTGTCGATAGAGAATCATCGTCCTTTCACATCCTCCAAGTGTCAGCAGAGAATTGGCATCCTTTTTCACCCTCCTGGTAGAACCTGTGACCGATGTTGAAGAACTTCACTTAAGAGCTTCCAAAGGAGATGGGCAGAAACTTGAAAGAGTCAAAGAGATCCTCGCTTTGGGCAACATTATGAATCCCTCACAACCCCCCTCACTTGATCTCTTACACTTCACTTTTATAATCTCTCACAAACACTCACACTCAATGACCACTCTCAAGAGAAATTCACAACAAAGGCCTTTTCCGACAGTTTTTAGGACTTCTTATATATAAAAGAGATGAAAAAATCATCCAAAAATTGAAATTTACAAGAAAACTGTCCTACGATTGTACTATACGATCGCATATCATCATGTACCAATGAATAGTGTCCCATACGAATTGCCCGTATGAATGCATAGTGTCCCCGTACGAACACACAGTGTCCCATATGTATTGCTCATATGAATGCATAGTGTACCCATACGAACACATAGTGTGTCGTACGAATGCATAGTGTCCCGTACGAATCATCCATACAAACCAAGTTCATCTGGGACGAACATTATGAAAATTTTCAAATTTCATATGTACGAAACGTTAGGAAAAAATGAGCGAGAACGGGCTCGAGACTTTCATCCTTGTAAGAAATATGGATCGTCCCGTACAATCCATATTTTAAAAAAAAATTTATGCGAGAACAGACCCGAGATGTTCGTCCTTGTATGAAACTAGGATCATCTCATATGATCCATACTTAGTAAAAAAATTTTGTGCGAGAACAGACCCGAGACATTCGTCCAAATACTCGTAGGAGTTTATAACTGAATAAATTATCCCGTACAAAATGAATTCGTACAATACAAGCTGTTTAAAAATTTTGCAAATTTTAAACACTCCCCAAGTGTGTGTGTCCATAGTTACTCAATTACAATCACACTCTCTGAGACTTAATAAAATGAAAAATATAGACTCCATTTACAATGAACCCTAATCTATTTTTATTTGAAGTCTTCAACAAACTAGAGTATGATTTTCCTGAAATATTAGTATACACATAAAACAAGTATATAATGAAAAATACTATGAAATATAAAGATGTGAGCCATAATATTTTTTATCATCAAAAATATAAACTCGTGAGCAATGAGTCGCAACACAAAGTGTCTCTCCTTTTGCCCCCACATCAAGACAGAGAACCTTTACAAAACATCTCTTCCACCAATCCCCAGTGCGGCAGAGAACCGTCGTCTGTTCACACTCTCTAAGTGTCGGCAGAGAACTGTCATCATTTTACACTCTCCAAGTGTCGGCAGAGTACCAGATCTTCTCACGAGCAACTAGAAAGAAGAAAGGAAGAGTAAACACCAAAAATCATAAAGAGATCCTTACCTTTGAGTAGCCTTGTGAACCCTTCACATTCCACTTATAAGAAATCTCTCTCAAACACTCTCCCATACTCTCTTTTTCAATTGCCCTTAAAAAATCATGAAGACAAGATTTTTTCACGTCAGTTTTAGTAGACCTTTTATACTAAAGACATAAAAGATCGTCCAGAAAATTAAAAATTTTCAATTTTGTGTGTACTCAATGGTACAATATGATCGAATTTCGTACGTACGAACAGTTCAAAAACTATTGCATAAGAATTTATTGTGAATCAGTATGAAACCATTTCGTACATAATCATCGTCCGATACGAACTAAGTTCGTCCGGTACGAACAGCTAGAAATTTTTCATCTTCGTTTGGACGAAGATGGACCCACAATTTTATACCCTGTATGGCGTACGTATGATGACGACATCGTCCGGTACGATCAGTTATAAAAAATTTCAATTTTATCTAAACGAAACGTCAGGACGAAAAGGGACCTCATAATTTCGTACTCTATAAGGTAGGTACGAATTGTGATCGACAATACAATCCATACTTAGAAAAAATCTTTTTGAATGAAAAGGGATTCATTCATTTCGTACTCTGAAAGGCATGTATGAATTGGGATCTTACAATATGATTAATACTTAAAAATTTTTTCATTTTTGTTCGTTCAATTGCTCGAAGGAAAAAATAACTGATCAGATCGTCCCGTACGAACGAATATCGCACAGAACGATCAATTTTAAAAAAAGAATATATTTTAAACTCTCCCCCGGTGTGTGTGTGCATAGTTACTCATTTACAATCACACTCACTCAGACTCAATAAAATAAAAAATATAGACTTCAATTACAATAACCCCTAAACTGATCTGATTTGAAGTCTTCAATAATATGTAGTATGCTTTCCCTGAAATGTCAGTACACACAAGAGCAAAATATGTTAGGAGAAATAATAATCAAAGCAATAATATTTGGAATCATAAAAAACATACAAGTTGCAAGAATATGAACAAACAAGAACTAAGTAGCAATTATCTCAACAAGGTTCAGGCAACTCCCCATTTTCTGAAACAGAATTACTTTTTCTCTGATTCTGAATTGAAGATCCAGAGGACAGAGTAGCTTCTGAATTCGAAACTCTATCACGTAAAGACTCCTGGGGTAAACCAAAGACTTTAGGAATTTTGAACTTGCTATCACTCAAAACATTTTCCCCTTTCCCAACATCTGGGATCAATTTCTTAGAAGAAACGAAACTGCCTTAATTAATGACTAAAGGTTTTGCCTTTAACCATGCTTCTTTAACATATAGGTTTAGCCCTAATACCTCTGAGTCGTCGCCAAGCGCAGGAGAAAACGATCTGAAAAATGATCAACCAGGTAGAAAAACTGATCCACCGAAGATACGACCATCATCTTGTTCATCGGCCGATGAAAATCGGCGTCCCTCCGCCATCAGAAATCAGTCGAACTGCCGAAAAGCGCGAAACAGAAATTTGAAAAAAAAATGTTTCTCTCCCCTAAAAAATCGGACGTTCTCTCTCCTCAAGCAAACACTGACTAACCAAAGAGCACTATGATCTTAAGTCAAACCATTAATGTGTGGTAGCTATTTCATTCAATTATTACATGTAACCCCTCTTGCATTATAACCATATATACAAGACTTGCATCACAATTCTAGATCTATGTGCAACCTCTCTTTCTTCATAAGTATCACATCCAAGTCGCATATTATTATCATGTTCACATCATAGCGTTGTCTCCTCCACACTTAATTTGCAACATAGTTCACAAAATGTCATTTGAGTTTACATTACAATTGTCTCTTTCCAAAGTTGTATTACAACATTGTTTAAGCCACTTTTATATTGTATAAGTAATTGTTGTTGTATTAAGATACAATCTCATATATATCAAGTTATCCTCTTAATGACATTAGCCATAATAATCTAAGAACAAAATCAAATATACATATATACTATTGTAAATAACTAAAACGTTCGAGAACATCCCTATCCACTAAACATTTTATTTTATTATTTGTTTCGCGGACTTCTCAGCGTGCGACCGGCCTCATAGAAGCCCAGAAAAATGATTTCGAAAACGGGCGTAGAAAATTATGAGAAAACATAAATGTAATTTGTAAAACATATTAAAAAAAATGCAACGCGAAGATAAGAGTTTCCCCGAAACCCTCTCGCTCTCTCTCTCTTCCTCCTTTCCCTGCTTCCGGTCGCCCCATTCTTTGACCCAGCTCTCCTTTCAATCTCGCCGGAGGAGGAAGAGAGACGAGAAGCAGCTACGCCTTGGAGAGGATCCTGGAGGATACGACCATGGATGAGATCGCCGACCACCCTGGTCTAACTGCGGTGGCTCGCAGGCTCGAAGACGAGGAGGACGAGGGGGACGTCTGCAGGATCTGTCGGAATCCAGGCGACGCGGATAATCCTCTTCGATACCCTTGTGCTTGCAGTGGAAGCATCAAGTTTGTCCACCAGGATTGCCTTCTCCAGTGGCTTAATCACAGCAACGCTCGCCAGTGCGAGGTTTGATAGTCGATTGTACCTCGATTTTGATTATCCGATATATGTTTTTTCTTATTTATTTATTTATTTATTTTTTTGTATTTCGTCAGTTTAATATTCTAATTTGGTTATGGAATTTAGGTTTTTGGATGTGCTGTGGCATGCATCCTGATCGTTATCTTTTTAGGTTTAGGATTTAGGGACCAGATGATGTTTTCCATTTTTCTTTAGGAGGAAGGTTGATTGAACTTTTAGGGGCTGTTTGGAAACTAGTAGGATTTAACTTTAGTGGGATTTAGTAAATCCAGTAAATCCAGATTTAATAAATCCTGAGGGTGCTAAACCATGAAAACTGTTTGGTATGACATAATCCTGAGAAATGCTGAGAAATTGTTTTGCAATAGATTTTAATATTTAGAGTGGTTAGTTCATTAAAATTTCAAATTTAATTTATATTTCAAATTTAATATGTATTTTAAATAATGATTACTTATTTTAATTTTAATAACAATCATCAAATTATAATTATAAATAATACAATTAGAAATTCGTTTAATGATTAAATGATTTAATTAAAGCTGTTTGATTTTGGGTTTTTTTTAATCTGGGTGTTTCGTGCCAGCTTGATTGTATAGTAAGTTAAGATAAAGCCACCATGCCTAACTGACGAGCTGGGAAGCTTAACCTTGTTAAAGCAGATATATGCTTTGTGATGGAAAAAAAAAAAGAAGATAAGTTGATCTAATATTTTAATGAAAATCGGAAGTTTAATGTTTTAGTGTGCTTAAAGCAGTTGAAAACGAGATGTAAAGATTAATGAGCTTATCTTATCAGATAAAATATAAAACAAAATTACTATGATTCAAATCATTATCTGCTAATTTGTTTGACTTATCTACTGTTCATGTATTGTTGGTGATGTTGTAGCATTACAATTTTAATTATATGGCTTTTTTATTTTCAATATGTTTAATCAGATTTAATTAGAAAATTTGATATTAAATTATTTAATTGGCTAAACAGTCAATTAGCTTATTAAATTTGTGTAATGGCTAATCAACTATCATCAATTGTCTGGTTTATCATAATGAGAAGCTGTAATTATATGTCCAGGTAGGTCAAACATAATTGTCATGTGAGCTATTATTATGCATAATAAATCATAGGTAATAAACAATTAGTTATGCCAGTTCTTACAAAATTTAATAGAGACAATGTTAGTTGTTAATAATCTTGACCTAGCTTGGTTCGCAATCCCTTGCCCAGTCTAGCAATCTTGAGTCCAAACCCTCTCATTCCTTTTGCTTTATTCTTCAACATTGTTCTTCCTCTCACACTAACCATGAAAGACCTTTTCTTGGGCCTTTTCTCCACGCAAGAGATGACAATGACAATAATGAGTAATTTTGTGGATCATAAGTGGCAATGCCATAATGGTCATTGCAAGTGCAGATTATTTCACCTATAGAGAAAAAGATAATGAATACAAGCTGGTGGGAATGATGATCATGATTATTGAGAACAATATGATTAGTATGTTATTGCAAGCTAAACTTAATACCATATAGGGTGAGGGGACTGTCTTTTTCCCTGATAGGGAATGCCTGGCTTAGCTTTTCCCTCTTTTGGATTGGTCTCTATTTGGTGGGCTTGAGAGTTTTGATCTGGCTTGATGTCCGAACCAAATTGTTATTTCTTTATTTTGAGGGACTAGGGTTCTTTGGTAATATGGTGTCACTTGGTTGTTTAGTGATGTCCTTGATCATGAGAATGTCTTACTTGTTCTTGTTTGTCCACCAGTCTTCATGTTACAAGTGCAAGAAACTGCAATATCTAGTGGGGGATATGCAAGTGGCAGTGTGGATTACACATGACCTTGAATCTTTTAAATGTTGATTGGCTATTTTGTTTGTTTGTATTATTAGATCCTTGGCATTCATAGTTGAATGCTGCTGATATGATCTGTAAGAGATCAAAATCTACTTTTTTTTTATAAGATGATGCCATGTTTGTGTGGATTAAACCTCAAGTGGGCTGTTTTATTGGAGTGGTTCAAATCTTTTTAAATAATTTTTTTTTTTTAAATTGAAACTAGATGATAATTAAAAGTGAATATCTGATATTATAGATGTGGGTATTCACTTGGGTGTTGCCTTTTTTGTTTGGTGGTCATGGACAAGTGATTATGAGGTGATATTGATGTAGATTTGCTATTCTTTCTCAAAACATATAAATTAATGTGCTTACAATGTATTAAAGTATTTGATTCTCCATGTAGGTGTGCAAGCATGTATTTTCCTTCTCCCCGCTTTATGCTGAAAATGCTCCTGCTAGACTACCCTTTCGAGAGTTTGTCATTGGGATGGCAATGAAAGCATGCCATGTTCTTCAATTCTTTCTACGACTTGCTTTTGTTCTTTCAGTCTGGCTTCTCATAATACCTTTCATTACATTTTGGATATGGCGCATGACATTTGTAAGGAGTTTTGGTGAAGCTCAGAGGCTTTTCTTGAGTCACTTATCTGCTCCCTTGATTCTTACGGATTGTCTACATGGGTTTTTACTCTCTGCTAGCATTGTATTCATCTTTCTTGGTGCAACTTCACTTCGAGATTATTTCAGACATCTTCGAGAACTTGGGGGACATGATGCAGATGATGAAGGGCAAGAAAGGCAGGGTGCTCGTGCTGCTAGGAGAGCTGCAAATAGGCCCCAGGCTGTTGAGGGAAATGCTGAAGATGGAGTTGGAGCTCCAGGGATTGTAGGAGCAGGGCAAATAATTAGAAGAAATGCAGAAAATGTTGCTGCCCGCCTGGAAATGCAAGCAGCACGTCTTGAAGCACATGTGGAGCAGATGTTTGATGGACTTGATGATGCAGATGGTGCAGAAGATGTACCTTTTGATGAACTTGTTGGTATGCAAGGGCCTGTCTTCCATTTAGTTGAAAATGCAATAACTGTAAGTGTGTTTTTTATTGTTATTACAAATATTCCATCTCTCTTCTTAGTTTGATTGTTCTGCTTCTTCATTGATTATTGATTGCCTTAGATATCAATGTAATTTATTTATTATAACAGTTTTCATAAATTTTCATTAATAGTAGGTGCAAAATATCTAAGCATTAGTTTTAATTGCTCTGTGGTTATTTTGTCTGCGCATATGCCACTGTAATGAACAAAAAGAGTAGTCAGTTGCTAAGTTAACGGAAATACTGGAGTTTGACCGAAAACTAGACCAAGTGTATGGGATTTATGATTGAAGTTTGATGGAAGTAGGATCTTCATTGCTGTTTCTAATGTCCATTTACAACATTAATTTTGTCTTCTTGTTGGTTTTGTACAAGGGTGAGAAGAAGAAGTGCTATTTATACCAAGGTTTGGAATCAATTTGAAAGGGTGTATGAGCAAAATGAAATAAAGAGGAAGCAAGAACTTGAATTTTTCATGAACCGTAGTACTACAGTATTAAGTTGCTTGGTTTTATGAACTTTCAGATGGGCAATATTGTCTACTTCTACAATTGCTAGCTTACATTTGGATTTATAACGAGCTTCCTTGTGCACATTTTTCCCTCATCTCGAATATGGACATTTAGTTAATTGTTGATCTTAGCTTAATTGTTGTGTGCACAGTGTACATGACTGTTCTTCCAAAATTTTCTGGATTTGGTATTATTTATGTTCTTTGTTTCAATCATTACTATAATACAACTATCAATGTTAATTATAATCTATCATGCACGGATACAAACAAAGATGCGATACAACACAAACTTGGGATACATTTATTGTTGAAATTATTGGTCACAAACAAGTGTTCAACACAACCCGACATATATAAAACTCATAAAAAACTGAAGTATGAAATGCAGGCAATTCTATTCACATAATGATAAATTTTGTTAATATACAAAAGAAATAAACATAAGCTTTATGAAAAGGAGGCAATTTAAACAAATTAATTGTTGAAGGCATCTTTTAGTTCTATTTCAAAATTAAAACCGATTATTATTCTTTGAATCTTGACATTTCTACCGTTCCATCATTGCTATTTCACGTAATATATGACAAAATGTCAGATATGTGTTATTTATTTATTGATTTGTTAGTTTTTAATCAGAAATGTCAACGATGTATACACCACATGTCGGATGGGTGTTTGGTGCCCTACATGTTTCAGATACTTGTTGGTCCATCATATATTGTCATAGTGCTTTTGGCAAAAATTTCATCTGTTTGATTACCTTGACACTCTTTTCAAATTAATGTTTTAACGTGGTTATTATGTTGGTAAATGATTAAAATGGTGTAATGTTTTAACGTATTATATCTGTGTTTGTGGCATGCTGCCGAATTTTTGTTATGAGTTTATACATGCTTCTTTTTACATTGATGCCTTAGCTCTTACTTCCAAGTTGGGCTCCAAGTTTGCTTTTCATGCCGCTATATTACCATATGTTGGTAAATGGTTAAACTGCTGTTATAATTATTTTACTTAATCTTGCAGGTTCTAGCAAGCAATGCTATTTTTCTCGGAGTTGTAATTTTCATCCCCTTCTCACTTGGGAGGATTGTTCTTTACTATCTCTCTTGGCTTTTTTCTTCTCCATCAAGTCCAATATTTACAGCCATGCCAGTCACCGAGTCAGCCCTGTCTTTGGCTAACATTACCTTAAAGAATGCTCTTGCGACAGCGAATAACTTATCTGAAAACAGTGATGATGGTGTTCTTAGCCAAGTGATTGAGGCCGTTGTTGGCTCCTCAAAATTCAATGCAACTGGAATTAATGAGGTCCCAAACAGCATCAACAATTCCATTTTACTGAATGGGACAGGCTCATCTCGTCTTTCTGATGTTACTACTCTTGCAGTTGGGTATATGGTCATATTCTGTCTAGTCTTCTTTTATCTTGGGCTTTTTACTTTAATTCGATATACCCGAGGTGAGCGTTTGACCATTGGAAGGCTTTATGGAATTGCCTCGATAGCAGATGCAATTCCTTCTCTCTTTAGACAATTTTTATCAGGAATGAGACATCTGATGACTATGGTCAAGGTTGCTTTTCTTTTGGTGATTGAGCTCGGTGTCTTTCCTTTGATGTGTGGATGGTGGCTTGATGTTTGCACTTTAAGGATGCTTGGAGGAACATTTGCTAAAAGAGTTGAATTCTTTTCACACTCTCCATTGACAAGCTCCTCAATTCATTGGCTTGTTGGGATAATTTATATGTTACAAATAAGTGTCTTTGTTAGTCTTCTCCGTGGGGTATGTTCTTTTAAATTATTGGCATCTTCCAATGGAAATTCAATGCTTGCTCATTCTTGTAGTTTTAGTTCCCATTCTTAATGGAACATTATCTTTATTTTTTGTTACACAGGTATTGAGAAATGGGGTTTTATATTTCCTACGAGACCCAGCAGATCCAAATTATAATCCATTCCGGGATCTAATTGATGATCCAGTTCATAAACATGCTCGACGAGTATTGTTATCTGTTGCTGTTTATGGTAGCTTGATTGTGATGCTTGTGTTTCTACCCGTTAATCTTGCAATGCGCTTGGCTCCTTCCATTTTTCCACTTGACATTACGTAAGTACATCTTGTCTATTGTAAATGTTGTAAATTTGCTTGTTGCATGATGCACATGCATTTTTGTTGTAAAGTTTTTTTTTTCTTTCCTTTTTTCCCCTTTTCCTCTTTCCTCTTTTAACTTACCCTGTATTCTGCCTTTGTTACAGTATCTTTGATCCATTTACAGAGATTCCTGCAGATGTACTTCTGTTTCAAATCTGTATCCCCTTCGCAATTGAACATTTCAGGCCACGTGCTACCATCAAAGCCCTTTTACGCAGATGGTTTACGGCAGTTGGCTGGGCTCTTGGCTTAACTGATTTCTTGCTCCCAAGACCTGAGGAAAATGGCCGGCAGGAAAATGGTAATGTTGAAGTACTAAGGAGAGAGAGATTGCATGATGCACACCAAGCTTTGGGGCCACATCGTCAGCCTTTGGGACATCTAATTGCTGCTGAAGATCATGATAGACGGGGTCATGCTATTGTCCATACTGATGTTGATGAAGAGTCGGATGTTGACGATCAAGCTGATTCAGAGTAAGAGTTTATTGCCACTTTTGAGTAATTATTTATTGCTTCTTTTGTATGTAAGCTTCTAAAGCGGTGTATTACCTTTTGCCATGGTATCGTGTTGTTTTTTATTTCCATGATTAAGCAACGGCTTCTATTAGAAGTTTTAGAAAAAAGAAAAATAAAACATAAAATAAGAGGCTCTTGTTAATATGGAGTCCAAGTAGAGGTTGGTGCATGCATACTAACATCTACATTATGGGTGAATTGAACCTAAGATCTCCAGGTCGTAGTTGTGCCAACCTAATCATTACTTCAACCCTGTCTACATTGTGGGATAATCGGACCCTAGACATCACAATTGTTCCAACCTAATCATTATTTCAAACCAAGGTTTAAAATTGCGTAATTGGGTATTGAGGCATTTTTCGTTCATGAGACGAGGCATAAGCCTTAAGGCGTTTTGAGGCGTAAGCCTCAAAATCTAAAAATTGCGTAAAATAAAAAAAAAAGTTAAAAAAAAATTTTTATATAATACCTAAATAATTTGTTAAAGGATAATATATTAACTTTTTATTGAACTATGAAGTAACAAATTTATATACATATGAAATAAAAAATTACACAATGTAAAGTGATAAGTAATAAATTATATGAAATAGAATTGAAATCCAGATATCACATGAGAAAAATAACATAAAATATATGAATTGCATAAACGTATCATATAGCATCAAGTTTAACTCGAAATTTCTTCTTTCTCAGTTCTCTACTCATCTACATTTAATTACTAATAATGTTAAAATAATTGACAAAAAAACAAAAATCATCTGTACTATCACTACTAAGGAAATTTTATTTGAGTCGTCATAAGAAATTGGCCTCTCCTTTGTCTCATCCTATAAGGTCCAATATCTACAAATCTACTTATTTATTTGTTTCAACCATCTTCCTCTTTCATAAACATTTTTCATCAATATAAATAAAATAAGTACTTAAATTTTTATAGGAGATGGTGGCGGTATGCGGATTTGAAGTGATCCTCGGCGGGGGCTATGCCGGTGGTGGCTACGATGAAGGCGGTGGGCTGTAGGTCGAGGTAGTTGAGACGAAGTTAATACGACTTTGGAGTGCAAGAGGACATATTTTTTGGGGGCTTTTGTATAGGATTTAGCTAAGTTTTAAATAAAAACATACATAAATAGAATGAGGCATGCCTCATGCCAGCGAGGCGAGGCGCGCCTCAAGGCGGGCCTCAGCCAAGATGAGGCGTAAGCCTCATAAAAAAAGCTTGAGGCGCTTTTTATTGAAATTGCGCTGAGGCGGGCCTCAATGCGTGCCTCATATTGTGCAATTTTAAACAATGTTTCAAACCATCCCTCCAATAAATTTTTGTGGTATACTTTTTTTTTATAATTAGTTGTTGATCATCAGTTGGATATCTCTTGATGTCATTGAGAAGATTGGATAACAAATCCATGTCTTTCATGTTCTATGGTGAACAATTGAGTCATGGACTTGCACTCTACCATGATTATTGGTGGAGTCATTGATAATCTGGTCTCATCACCCATGAGTCTGAGGCACCTTAATCTTTGACTATAAAGTTTTTATTGCGCTTCCATCAATCATTGTTTTGGAGCAGTTGTTTGGACTAAGTGGGTGTAAGTCATTTGGTATTTAAGCACCAATTGTTGGTCAAAATTATCGTGAATATAATTGGTTGTCTAGTAGGGGAGAGTGGTAGAGAATTGCCAGGGGGTGGGTAATAATGCAGGCTATAGCCCATACCATGGTGAGGGATATCTCTTGTTATTTGCATAACAAGGCGCGAGTAGTTGAAAATAGCATATGCTATTGATGTGCTGAAGCGGATTACTCACAATGCACGCTATTTAATTTCTTTATTTTTGGCTTTAAATAAAACTATTCTTTATTTTAGGCTTTAAATAAAACTATTTTATTTAATTTTACCTTTTTATCATCATTATTTATTTATTTTAATTACCATAAGTAAACCTTATTTCTCACCTTCGTCATCAACCCCTGAGGTAATCTCATATTGCGAAGGCTCTTGATGAAGCAGTTTGTCATAGCAAACACTTGATCAATCGGATGAGCAAAAATAGAATTGTGATGCAATAAAGAAGGTGCTCTCAGTAGCTCTCCACTCACATGAGTACCAATCTCTCAATGACTCATCCCTCCCTGATTGATTTGAACAAAGCCCTATCCTGACCCTAACTCAAAGCTTCTCTTTTTCTTCAAATGCATTCCTTTCCTGAGTTGTGAAGATGGAGGATCCTCTTCGTTTTAAATATTCTATTTGAGTTGATTGTAGTCCTCTTTTGATCCATCATGACTCTAGTTGAGAATGTTGTACATCCTCAATATTCTTAGAAGCTTGAGACCACATTGTATGCAACTATGTTGACCTTTTGTCTTTCTTTGCTATGATTAACTGTAGCATATATATTATTTTCCTTTAATTCGGCACAATTTGTTGTTTGTTTTAAGTTTAATTTTGTTTGATCTAATTTGGTTCAACATAGTTTTAGTTTTTTAACATATTGTTTCATTGGATTTCATTATCATTATTGTTTATCTTATTTTATATATAAAACTGTCATTTTATTATTTAAGGATAATGTTAAATCACATTATTCCATAAATCCATTCACTAGCTATAAAAAAGAAAAATGTCAAATTTTGGAAACATCTGACATGAAAATATGGTGTCTTAGCAAAAAAATTATGATATCAGTAGAATGAATTGTATGGCTAAATAAAAAAATAAGGGAATTACTTGCTATAAACAACAGTTGGTTGAGGGCAACAAAAGTTTGTGGTAGTTGCTCGCAACATTTGAAATTTAAAATACAAGAGAGTATGAACAAGTTAAAATAATAGATTAATGAAATGCCAAATGTTAATATGGATGAAGGGGTGATTTTGACAGGATGAATGAACTTTTGCTTTTAGACTATCAAAGAGTTACTGTAAATTAAAATAAAATACTTATAGTCTAAATTCAATGATTATTTCTATGTTAAATAATCAAAGGTTAAAGGGCCACTGTATATATTTTTAGCTCTGAATCCTTTTGAAGTTGTGAAGCAAAGCACTGCTAGAATGCCACTAGAATTACATGTTATGAAGAAGTTGAGGGATAGATCTGCTCTAGTGTTTTATCAATGTATGTATGATATATGCTTCTTCTTCAAAGCAGTTAACTATGACATCTTTTTGGTAGTACTAGAGGTATTTACACAATTTGATTTTGGAATGAACACTCCCAGCTATCATGAAATGCGAGTCCCATATTTGAAAAATGAGGTACAAAACATAGCAATTATTATAATACCATAAAGAAGGTTGTTTCAGTTATTGTTGTTCTCTTATGACTGAAGGATTGAGCATCTGATAAGTGATAATAGAAAAGTTAGTAATTTTTTTGGTTAATTGTTCAATAGGAATTACATTTATTGAGTTATTTGATATTCACTATCATTCAAAGAGGATCATAAAGATGTTTGAATTTTTAAGCAATCATATCAAAGAGATTGAGCCATGTGTCATTCAAGAGGTAACTAAGAATTTTCTAGTGGCTACATTGCATTATGTCTATTATGCTACACTTCTATATTTCTTTTAGATTGTTTTGTTAGTTATTGTTGAGTGTTTTGTAATCTTGTTGTATTGAAGTTGTTGACGGATAATTGTCCATATTTATATTAAACTCCATTTATCACTCATTATTTTGTTTTGTTAATGGAGTATATCTTTAAGATCCAAAATGAAAGCGATGCTTTGAGAGATTGTTGGCTGAGCATAGTTTCGTTTAATTAAGACTATAATTACCTGGCTTGATGAGAAGATGTACTTGTCAAAGATAACTAGTAAAACCAACTAAGACTTGAGTTGTCACGATCTTTACCTTGAAACATTCCATCAACAACAAGTGAATTTGATGAAAATATTCATATGTGAAGAATTTTGTTTGGTCCTCATTCAAAGGAAATAAGGGCTAAGCAAGCACAAAACCATTTTGAAACAATCCTTTTAAAATTGTATGGTATGTGCTCAAAGAGGTAACCTTTTGTCGAAGTTCTTTTGCTTGGTAGATATAAATAAAATGCCTTGGATGGGTTACCTATATGAAGGAAAGAATAGGGCTAAATTATACACCTGGTCCATGCCATACCCTTTACTATGCCCCAACTGCATTGAATGGTTAAGCATCGAGCATTGTGGATTCATTATACTTAGATTTAAAGGGCTGAATCACATCTAGCTTAGTGATGTCAAATGCTTTGTGCATTCTGAAGGCGATATGTGTGCTCAATGCTTGAGGCATTTTTCTAGGCTAATTGAGGTGCTAAAAATGACTATTAATTAAGTATGAATGTTTTTCAATAATACAAAGTGAAATCATTAAACTAAAGTTATAAAATTTCAAGTTTTAATTTATGCCAAGTTCTATCCTTGGCATATATTATCTTAAACAAGTATAGTAACTACTAATGCTAGTGTAATGATGATCACATATTCACTACTTTCTATTCCATCTTCCTTGTCATTTATTGTTCATTTTCCCGTACTCGGTTTTCCTTCCAACAATTTAAAGTTTTAATGTATTTCCAACATGTTTTCTGGATCATGTGCATCCTTGTTTCTTCAACTCTTTATGCTCTTTTAATAGCGACGCATGTTAATGACTCACATCTTAGAGACGTGTGAGATGCTATGACTGCACCTTATCTTGCTCCTAGTGCCTAGGCAAGTGGTTTGCTTGCCTTTAACAATACTGCTTTGCAAAGCAGTTTGTTGCACTTTCCCCATTATTCCAGCTTTACGCCAGGCTGTCCTTCATCACCTCTAATAATATCTTAAGAAACAGTTCTAAATATTAAATAAGTTGAGTATATTTGATATTTTAGATGAATGTTATTTTTCCCTAATATCTTATTAATCATTCACCGTATTCCCAACATTAGGTTATTATTTAGTAGCTGGTGATCCTTTTTACCTCTTTCACCCTTTCACCTTCCTTGCTCTTGGATGTTTGCATACCGTACTAGTTTGTTTTTGAACCCATGGATTCTGGTGGGTCATGTTGTCCTCATGAAGTTGGTTGCATTTTTTGTTGTGCCTGCTATTTTGGTACCGATCTCAAAATGATTTGACCCTGATTATGAAAATGAACTGAAATCTGGTACAGCGTTGGTTACTAGATGTTTTAAGGTGCACGTATTATACTGTTTTGACCATCCATTTCAATCAAACTGTAACTGATTAGGCAGGGCAATCTCTGCTGTAGCATTTTCTAAACAAGAACTAACACTTTGAAATGATGTAAAATTCAAAATATAAGCAGGATATGCAATGCTAATTAAATTTCTAATGTAGTTATAATTAATATAAAACAAAACAAATGCAAAATAAGTGTACAAATATTCCTGAGGAAGATAACAACACAAACATTCTTCACTAAAGATGATTCTTGGATAACAAAAGTGTTCAAATTGGTCACATGAATTTATCCATAGAAAAACAAATTGTGTTAACAAATAATAAATCTCAGAGAAATTAACCACCAGAATTCACGATTCATACAAAAATCAAAACTGATTTAATGATCATGAAAAATGTTTAAATATTATATGTGTAACTAAATATATCCCATCACTATTTCTACCAATTTACTAAACATATAAAGAGGAAAAAAGCGAGAGAGAACTTGATAATCTATCCTGACATTAGAAAAAGGGCATCACTTCCTATAAGAGGTATAAAGAAGGGTCCTGACATACCAAGAGAACTATTACATTCAATAACGGTGAAAAGTATATTGCAAAGTTTTTGAGTTATATATATGAAGAAAAATAGCTGAATGTAACAAATCTTGACACAATTTTTGTTTAAAGTTTAACATTTTAGATTTTTGATCAACTAAAGTTATTGCTGGTTACAATGTTTCCTTTCTATTGACAATCAAAATTTTCATTGTACCTTGTGATGCGCCAAATTTAAGTATGCTAGAGTTGTCATACCTTTTTTATGTGTAAATTATAATGGCATTTTTTTATGATCGTAATGATATTTATGATCATAAGGTATAGCCATTACTTCCAAGTTATGGTAATATTGATTGTATGATATGATCTTTTCTACATAATGAAAATCATAAGCTAAACATAATTACAAACACAAACTAAAAAATATATATGAATCGTAATTGAAAAAATAGATGAATTGCAAGCTTGCATCTCTAATGAAGATTGTAGGTCACAAGCTTTACATAGGTTCTACAACAACAACAACAACATCAAGCCTTTATCCCACTATGTAGGGTCGACTTACATGAATCTTTTTTCTCCATTTTGTCCTATTAAAAGTCAAATTCTCATTTAAATCTAATAAAGAAAGATCATTTCTTATATTTTGTAACCAAGTCTTTTAAGGTTTTCCTCTACCTTTGTTAACATAAGTCAAATCTAATACCTCTACTTTTCTAACCGGGTCATCAGAAGGCTGCCATTTTATGTGACCAATCCATCTAAGCCGACTCTCTCTAATCTTATCTTCTACTGGAGCTACTCCAACCTTTTCACATATATGCTCATTTCGTATCCTATCTCTCTAATCTTATCTTCTGCCACACTTAACTTAGTATTATGCTTCTCTTTTAATGGCCAACATTTGGCACCATAAAGCATTGCAGGCCTCACCATCTTATAGAAATTTCCCTTAAGTTTGAGTGGTACTTTTTTATCGCACAACAAGCTTGATGAATTTCTCAGTTTCAACCATCCAATTTGAATTTTGCTGATAATATCCCCCATCTATTTCACCATCACTTTGAACAATATATTCAAGATATCTAAAATGTGTACTCTTATTAATGACTTGATCGCCCAAAGTCACAATCCCCTCACTAGGTCTATTACTTCTAAAATTACACTCCATATATTCCGTTTTAGATCTACTCAAGCGAAAACCTTTAGACTGTAAGGTTGATCTCCATAATTCAAGCTTACCTTCAACTCCATCTATAGTCTTATCAACAAGAAGACTATCATCAACAAAAAGCATACACCAAGGTACATCCTCTTGCAAAGGTCTAGTGAGAACATCCATGACTAAAGCAAAAAGATATGGGCTTAAGGCTGTCCTTGATGTTACCCAACCGAAATAGGGAAATACTTGGTCAAACCACCTTGTGTTTGAACACAAGTAATAGCTCATGCATACATATTGCCAAAAATTAGCGTAAATGAGTTGAACTTGCCAAGATATGCTGTTGCTTGAGATACATCAACACGAGCACGATAAGATATATATGAGAAATAAAGCGTGGCATAATATTTGCACAAGTTAACTAAATATGAAACCCATATATAAAAAAAATAAAATAAAATAAAAAAATAATCCAAGTTATAAAATAGAAACTTTTGCTTTTTGAAATAGACAAAATATTAAATTATAAAAAGTGATATTCTAAATAAATTATTAAAAAATAATCCAAGTTATAAAATAGAAACTTTTGCTTTTTGAAATAGATAAAATATTAAATTATAAAATGGTAAAAGGCATATTCAGTTGGTCTCTTTCAAATTCAAAAGACTTTTATAGTAATTCTTACATACCATGGAAATGAAAGGATTGATATAGTGATGATTGGGCACACAAAAGTAGCCACCAATCAATAGGGGCAAAGTTAATGATAACTCATGTGCTGCAAACAGTTTCAAGCCTAGCCACATCAACCAGCCTAATAGTGCTACTTAAAATTGGAGACTAAGCCAACTCCGACAACAAGCGAGCCAAAGGGTCAAGGTAATGATGGGGATAGCTAGGTCCCATGAGGCACATATAGTCATGTTGGGGTAAGAAGAAGCTTCATGTAAGATGCCAAACCAACTTACACATGAAAGAGTGCACTTGATAGCATGAAGCAATTCTTTCGAAAGTGCCATGAGCTTGATTATGTTGTTCAACTTGATACATTTGATTAGTCTTTCACAACCAACAAATTGAAGGCGGCAGTTCATTTGTGCACAAAACATTTCATCTTATATGCATCCGGATCGGCGGGAGCCATCTCGCATGAATCAACACATTGCATTGAAAATTAGGCACAACCATAAGCATCGCAAGCAAGTGTTATATCTTGCATGATGTCAATGGAAAACAAAAAATTAATGTCAAAACAACGAGCCTGCATATGCTTATGATAAGACCATTAGCACAGTTGTCAGGATATATACACCTGTCGCTAGGAAAATGGCTCTCATCATCACTATTTCACTTAACACATGGCATGCATGTCCTTCATTCATTTATCATATTTCATAAAACTCTCTGATAGGGGTTTGTGCATATGCTGTGGCTTTCTTATGTCTAACATTGTATATTTTGATATTAGAAAATGTCCATGCACCATGGGTTGTAGTTACCTTGATGATACCCAAGTGCCATCACGTGAAGGCCTTCTTTTCCATTTGATTGTTCTGCAACTACCATCCTTAATATAGGCCTAATTTCATCAAGAATCTATATTGATTGTAGATTAGCCTGCATTTGAATTGTTGCAATTGATTGGGGGGAGATGTGGGTGGATTTCAAGATGCTTGTGGAATTGAGGAAGGTCAATGCAAAGTTCTTGATGTGAAGTCTGTCAGGGGAGAAAGTGCAAGCGAAGAATCCAATTCATTAGTTTAGAGATCACGTTACAAGTCAATTTCTATATTGAATAATATGCTAATTCTAGAAATTTCTGAATATTTATCTCATTTGCACTTGGTAAAATAGCTGCAAAATTTTGCATGCACTTGTTATTCTTATAGCTAATTTCTTGAAGAGTTGCTTGAGAAAAACTCTCTGGGTATAGGAGTGCATATAGGAGTGCCAATTCCTCATCACTTCATATCACATTATATTTCTTAGTTGAACTTTATCCTATAAAATATATGTTGGGCATATGCTTTCAAAAAATTAAGAGTTTGAGGTGTTTGTATCCTTACACCGATTGTCATTTGTTTTGCTGGATTTCATTTTCTGTCCCTTAAATATTAAAGAGTTCAACTATATTTCTACGTGAATCCTCTGTGAAGCATTTTGATGACCTTCTTTATTATTACTTGCAGATATGGCTTTGTACTTCGCATTGTGTTATTGCTGGTCTTGGCATGGATGACTCTTCTGCTTTTTAATGCAACAGTTATTGTTGTACCCATTTCACTTGGACGTGCAATATTTAATGCAGTTCCTCGTCTCCCTTTCACTCATGGTATCAAGTGTAATGGTAATTTGTTCGACACTTCTAAACCATTAACACCATTTTACCAACCTTATTTTTCTTCAAAAATATGATATATGGGAACGGTTGTTCCAAATTATTATCATAGGCCATTTGGATGGCATCATAACAAATTTTTTTGCCGTTATTTTTTCCCTGCAGATCTCTTTGCTTTCAGTATTGGTTGTTATCTCATCTGGACCATTATGGCTGGAACCAGCTATTCAGCTGATTATATTAGAACCCGGCGGGCCAGTCATCTTATTTCGCAAATTTGGAAATGGTGTTCCATTATTTTGAAAAGCTCAGCCCTTCTTTCTATATGGGTAAGGAACCAGAATCTCATTTAATAGTAAGATTTAATCCAAGTTTTCATGCTTCCGGTGTTGATAACAAGAAGCCCTTGTTAATTATTTTAGATCGTTGTCATTCCTGTTCTGATTGGTCTGCTTTTTGAGTTGCTGGTGATTGTGCCAATGAGAGTTCCTGTGGATGAAAGCCCAGTTTTCCTTCTGTATCAGGATTGGGCTCTTGGTTTGATATTTCTGAAGATCTGGACAAGATTGGTATCTATCCTTCTGCACTTTTGATGTTTAACCCAAAGGATGTATCTGACCATATTAAGTACATAGTTTCTATCTGATTTTTTTTTTTTTTCTAAATTATTAAATAGGTTATGCTGGATCAGATGGCACCATTGGTGGATGAGAGCTGGCGGGAGAAGTTTGAAAGAGTGAGAGAAGATGGATTCTCAGGATTGAGAGGCTTTTGGATTCTTCGCGAGATTGTGATCCCCATCATCACCAAGCTACTGACTGCACTTTGTGTTCCCTACGTCTTTGCAAAGGGTGTGTTCCCCATTCTTGGCTATCCACTGATAGTGAATTCTACCGTATATCGGTTTGCTTGGCTGGGTTGCTTGCTCTTCAGTATGCTCTACTTCTGTGCCAAAAGATTCCATGTTTGGTTCATGAACCTCCACAATGCCATTCGTGATGATCGCTATTTGATTGGACGAAGATTGCACGACTTTGGGGATAATGCATTTCAGTCGAGGGGTAATGAATTCTCGGACTCGCCTGAAATGGAGTTAGTTCGTGATCGTGGAGTCGATATTGGATTGAGGTTGCGACATGCTAATCAACGTGCGAACCTGTAAGGCAAGCTCTGTAGATTTGAATGCACTCTTGTAAGTTTTTTTATTGGAGCTGCTATTTGCATTAGTTCATAATATTTTGCTGTATATTTTAGCAGTAGAGGTGGCATGTTTTATGTTATGTAAACAAGTTCACAGCAGTTTGACTTCTGGCTTGTGATACATGTAAACGTCGGTAGTGTTTTGCACCTTCATGAGAGTATTTGAAACGGTATTCTCATGAGATTCATTGTGCTCCAACCCGTTAATACACCAAAAATTTATGCTCTAATGTTGATAGAAAGTTCATTTTAAATACACTTTGGTTTGTGGGTCTGATGCTTTAATGTTGCTAGAGCGAGTTCATTATGAATGTGGCTTGGTTTGTGGTTATCATGCTTTGTGTTATGAAATAGTGTCCATAGTTGAAGATTCTAAATTTACTTATATGAAAAGTAGGCGAATTTCAGACATTTGCAGTTTGTCTTATTTTATGGGTCCGTGCATTGAATGTTTTTTTCATTTTCCTATCTTTTAAATTCCTCAGTGAAAAACCTTTTAATAAAAAGCTTTCATTTTTAAAAAATGGAAAAAAGTACGATGAGATCATGACCCAGACACTTAGACATATATGAGCAACAGCAGCTGCAGTACTAATTTCAACTATAACAAGTTATTGTAGAGGATAGTAAATGTTTTTTCCTTTGTTTGCAACTATGTTATCAAGATATGCTTTTCCCCATTCAATAGAGAGGGCAAATTATAAAAGTTTGCCCTTGTTTCAAAAAGTGGATTAGTGAGGAGATTATTTAGAAAAGAACATATTAAGTGTGCTAATTAGATTTTTCCTTTACTGTAAAGCTTATAGTGAATGTGACTTCACATTACTTCAATTGTTGGGCTATTAACGAAATTCCTAACAAGTGCTTTTCACATTACTCAGCTGGACAAAACTCTATTAAAAATAGATTCACTGATCTGTGGCACATTTGTTTCCTTAGCTAGAAAATTGAGTGAAGTGCTTATTTCTACTGTATATCTTGCAGGATTCAGTTCAGTTCAGTTCAGTCTTTTATTGATCATTACATGAACGAAACCCTCTAATTATATAAGTTGATACTTACTTAAAGCAAAACCTAGAAATTTACACAATAAGAAAGTGTTATAAGCATGTTAAGAGTGTTTTAGATGTAAATTTTAATTAAAGGTGTGCAATAGTTAATTGTTTATTGCAATGTTGCAGTTTCTGTATGTATTCATAATAATGTTGAGTGAAAATCAATCACAAGAAACAGCCATGACCGAATTTTTCTATTTCTACAAAGCTATTGAGGAATGTTTCTGTTGTTCAAATTTGTCAGAATATATTATATCAAGAAGAAGAACCTGGTAAAGATAAGTTACATGGTATTTAATGTCTTTAATTTTCAGAAGAATGTATTTATTCATGCTTTATGCTTCATAATTACTGATTTTGTTTAATTTTTGCCACACATTTGAAATGATTGTTTAATTATTATGTTAATTATGTTATATTTCAATAAAATTTGTATTTATTGCATCATCCGATTCAATTTCGGTCGAACTTTTGAACTGTGAACCTCTCTATTTTCATGTTCATTGTTTTTTCCCATTCATTGTCCGATCCGGTTTTAATTGTTTTAAAGAATGGTATGTATTGTCACAAGTTTGTCAAAATGAATGTTAAATTGTTTGGTTAGCTAAAAAAGGAATGCATTATAAAATGATGCAATGTTAAAAGAATATTTTGGAGTAATTTGGATGAATATGAAATAATGCATGTGAATGATTTTTTTTTTTTTTTTTGGGAAGTAATGAATAGTGTAAATTTAAAAAATGGTGGCAGTTGGTGGCAACCAATAGTGGGTGGTTGGTGGTGGTGTTGTCTGATAGAGGTTGTCCCAAATGATAATAGTGGCCCGTGGTGGGTGGTGGCGGCGGTGGTCGACGGTAGCTGCTGGCAGTAGGAGTGGCCGACAGTGGTGGTGGCCTGAGTTGGTGTATGAAACCGTTGGTTGGTTGTGACCGGCTGGTGTTGGTGGCGTTAAAATTTATTGTTCAAAACTAGATGAGTTTAGTTTACTTTAAAAATAAACTAAAATGATTTATACTACATTTACTTTACTTCGCACTATTTAATATTTCAGTCAAAAATTAAAATTTTCAAAACCCCTATATTTGAAATACTTTACATCACTTTATATTTCAACTAAACAACCCCTAAAAAAAATTTATGCCAACGAAAATTGCTTACATGAAAGATTCATGTGAACATAATCAAATAAAATTAGTATCATTATTCCATCCTTTTTGTTGCATGCACTGTTATGTTATATTTTATTATGAATATGATATAATTTACAAAAAGTTGTTCGGATATCACAGTTGGTCATTTGAATCTAATTAAGATTTTTGTTGGGAAAGTTTTTTTTTTCTATTTTCTAAAATAATTTTTTAATAAAAAATTATTTGAACTAGAAATTATTGAAGAGATATGAGTCTTTAACACTGCTTTTGTAGTAGATCCCATAATAGCATAAGGCCAATCTATTCATTTTTTAATCTTTTCAATCCCTGATATGTCTTTAACAGTTCTTTAAGCACGCAAACCTTCCCTTTTGTGAGATAGAGTTTAGTTCTTTGAACATGAAGAAGTGTGGAGCTCTAAACAACTTATAGGAGCCCATGTAGCTTCTAGTTTCCATCATTCAAATTATTGACTTGCCATTGTTAATGATTTGAGTACATTAACAATTTATTTTTCAAGATAGGCTTTAGTATACTCGGTAATAACTTTTTATGGCATTTTGATAAATTTTCTTAACTGAGACTTCGTTTGAGACGGCTTTCGTACTGCTTCTTAAAGCAGTTTTTTAGTACAATAAAGCTGCTTTAAGAAGCTGTAAGAAAATCGTCTCAAACGAAATCTAAATCTTAATTTACTCCTAATTGATTTGCCTTTTTAAACGCAATCTTCACCCTATTCTTTGTGAACTTTGTAGGACTCTATTTCTAACTAAAATCCTTGCTTTATCTCACACCTCTTAATACGAACAAATCTCCTCTCACTTCTTATTTGCGAGCAAGTTCTTGCTTGCTTGCGACTTGCGAGTGAACTTCTGCTCCATAATGACTGCCATTATTTCTATAGAATATTCTACCTTAGATATGTAAGTTTTTGCACGTAGTATATTTCTGTTAATTATGGTATATATATACATTCTCTATAATACTGAGCCCTTGAAAATATAAGAATCATATTATAATATGATGGTGAATTGAGTGTAACATAAGATGTCACACTATTTTATATTGAAGATAATGATAGACTTATGTTGTAGGAAAAATAAGGAGAGAGATGAAAAAAAAAGAGAAGAAAAAGATTAAAAAAACAGAAATGAGAAAAAAAAAGAGGGATTTTTTTTTAAAAAAAAGGGAAAATGAGAAAAAAATGAAAATAAATACATTTTTGTGCCTTTCATCATCGCCATCGCCGACTCCAACCATCGTAAAGGTATAAAATTCCTACTTAAAAATCACACTCTCGAGGCTTGAGACGAGCCGACAAACCTCCATACGCTCTCAGATAGCACGGGTGGAGTGAAATATGTGCGACGCTTGCAACGAGGCGGGTAATCCCTGGAGCGCTCACATAGCGTGAGTGGGACAAAAAAATAAGTACCCATACGTGGGGAAACAACTGTGTTTCTTTTAATAGGTGTCCGAGATCCTTAATTGCTCATGTAGCGTAGCAGGATTGAAGAAAATGACGCCGCAGTTTCACCTAACATTTATCTGAAGCGCTCATGTAGCGTGGAGGAGATGACTGCCTCTTGCTTTTTCTCCTAAATACGGGAGGCTGCTGAAGTTTGGACTGAACAGGGGACATTGAACTCAAAGGACAATATGGGGCTTGACATCAAACAAACAAAACTTGAACTTGCAAACTTTTGAACATCAAAGGATTTACAAATTTGGACTTTAACTTGATTTGAACCAAATAATAAGAACTTGAACTCAAGTCAATAAATAAACAAAGGACCTATTTGAACAAACAATTGAATTTGCTAGGACCATACTTGGACTTAAATCAAACTCAAAGGATGGGAAATCATGCTCCAATTTGATAAATGCACGAGTGAAAAATGAAAATGCCAAAATCGAGTAATAACTTTAATCGTTTGAATGCAATCAAATGACTACCAATAATTAAACAAAAGACTTGCGGATTTCAGCATGACTTGCTTATAATTGATTCTAAATGATTGTAAAAAATGCAATATATTCACAAGCAAAAATTAAGGGGAAAATGAAATAATATGTCTTCAATGAGTTAAATAATTTACTTATAGATGGCAATGAGAAACTACATATAATGACTCCAAACATTGAAGTGTATTCAAATAAACACCATGCACCCAAATGTCAACCATGCAAGTAAATGTACAAGGACTTTTGATAGAAGAAGAATCATGCATATAAATTTTTCGAGAACAATGATGCAAGACCTCCAAATAAGCATCAATGAACAAGACACAATACAAGTGGCAAATAAACCCTCATTGCATATTACAACTTGCTTATAAATGATGAAAGCAAAATGATACGCCCATATCAATTAGTCAGTTCACAAGCAACAAATAAGAATCTAGAGTCAACATGAACTTTCATGAGTGTATACAGGAGACAAGTAGTGAAAGAGGTAACTGATTTACAAGCATGAAGGTGAGCTTATAACACATACAAAGGTCTATCTACAAGTCACTACAAAGAACATTGAACACCACTTGTTGCAATATGAGACCTCTAATAAATGCTGCAATGTATTCATTATAATTATGCCCATCAAAATGCAAATGCTAGCTAACAATGACAACGACATGATTACTCATGCCATAAACCATCAAGTAACGCAATGAATATTTTGTTTGGAGGTATTTGATAATTAGTCATATAATGAATAGAGTGATTTGTTATGATATTATGTACAATGAATGTAGTATGCTCGCAAGCAAATCAAGAGGATTGTGGATGATATAACTTCCTTCCTACCAAAGCTGGCTAATTGGAAAATAAATACATAGTAGACTATCTACAATAAATCACGTATGATGTGGTCTATTGGAAAATAGTAACGACTAAAATGCTATGGATGTTGGAGATCATAGGAAGACACCAGTGCAAAATACATATGCTATTGAAAAATAAAAGCATTAGCAGTCATCTTCCAAACATAGCTAAGTGGACTAAAGTGAGTGTAGTTGTGCATTCATAAGTAAAGCATCATGGGCATGTAACA